TGTACACGCCGGACAGTTCGGACTAGTGTCCCGATGGAATCTGTGCAGGTAACTTCTAAAGCACCCATGTCCACTTAGTATTTGGGTAAGATGGAAATCCAGGTCCCCATGTCGTCTGTCTATCCACTAGCGGATGTCCGGTATGAGTCTGTGTGTCCACCGTCCTTTGGGTGAGGTTTCCCACCGTTGCTGCCACATTGTCATGCTTTTGTTCATCTCTTCTTTTTTGGATTCTTTAGTTGTCTCTGCTGACAACTTGTATAGTCGCGCGAATTCTGCTATTACTTCAGCAGCCTCGCTGGATATTGTTCGGAAAGCACTGATTATTCTTAGCGCCGACAGCCGGTGCACTGTGTTTAATTGTTTAGTATACGCTTTAATGTTAAACGCCTGGATCCATATTGGGACCGCATATAATATAACCGATCTTATTACCTTTGCGAGTAAAACTCGCCGGCTGGAACGCACGCAGCCCTTATTTGCCATCATTCTTGATAGGGCGTTGAGGATTTTATATGCTTTACTCGAGGTGTATTCTAGGTGCTCCTTAAATTTAAGCTTTGAGTCTATTATTACTCCCAGGTACTTTAGTTGTGGCTGTGATTGTATCTCACACTCCCCTATGGTGAGAGATATCCTTTCCTCCACTTTCCTCGTACTTATTAGGAGAACTTCTGTCTTGTGCTCAGCCAGTACTAGGCTCCTTGAGGAGAACCATTGCCGCAGACTGTTTACACATTCATTGCATTTGCTCCGGAGGTCATCAAGATGTTTAGACACTGCTACCACTATAAGATCATCAGCGTATGCGACTAATTTAACGGCTTCTGGTTGGCATAGAATGGGGCCTAAAACCGAGCCTTGCGGTACCCCACTCGAAATAGAGTAGCTCTTGGTGTCGAATATTAGTCGTCTGTTTTCAAAATAACTTATAATAATGTTTATAAGATATTGAGGAGCGTGTATTTCATATAGAGCCTTGATTATGTTTGCCCATTTTGCCGAGTTGAAGGCATTCTTCACATCCAGGGTGATCAGCGCGCAATATTTTTTAGTTCCGCCTCTCCACCTTTTTCCACTTACTGCGCATTTCGCAGTGTCAACGACATTGTTTAATGCGTCAATAGTGGACCTCTTTCTTCCAAGCGGTTTCTTACAATGCTTTCGTACACTTTGCCAATCGTGTCAAGCATGCACAGAGGTCGATATGACGAGGCTTCCTCCGGAGGCTGATTTGGTTTGGGAAGTAGAACCAAACGCTGTACTTTCCATGGGTCGGGGAATATACCTTCCATTAAGCACGCATTGTACATTTTTGCGAATACATGTGGTTTTAAATTCATGGCTTCTTTTAAGGCCCTGTTTGGTATACCATCTATACCAGGCGCTTTGCTGCTTTTAATTTTTCCCGCTATGGCCACTATCTCATCCTCACTAACTAGTAGCGGTGGCTCTATCACTTCTGTTCGTAGTGTAGCATAGGAAATTAGATGGTGTTTTGGGAATAATGTTTCTACAATATTCTTCATAAAAGATGCGCTTTTGGGTTGCTGTGTCTTGTTTTTGAACTTTGACATGCATATTTTGTACGCCGTACCCCAAGGATCTACATTTTCTTCCTCACAGAGCTTTTCAAAATGGTCCCTTTTGCTGCGGGCAATGGCTGACTTTAGAAGCTTCTTTTGTGTTTTAAACATTTCTCTGAGGCTGTTTGCATTTTCCCCACATTGATTACGTTGCAGACGGCGTCTAGCTGCATTACAGAGTTTTCTGAGCGTAGCTATTTCTTCATTCCACCAATAGGCTGGCTTTCGTTTGTTGTGGTGTACTATTCTACGCATAGTTGCATCGCATGCTGTGACCAGTTCTTTTCGCACTGCGGATACCAGGTGGGTAGCTTCCTCACCTTGTGCATCTGCCGAGCCCCAAACTATCCCAAAAAGGTCGGCATCAAACTCTTTTTGTTTCCAGCTACGTTTTTGGCAAGTGCTCTTGCTGCGGGGTTCCGTCTCTCCGGAAAACGAAACATCAGCAATAATAGCCATGTGGTCACTATTTGTAAATATATCCGACACCGTCCACTTTATGTGCCTACTTAGAGCGTCGTTTGCAAACATAAGATCGATTATGGAGCCTTTGTTTCCTTTTTGAAAGGTATTTTGCGTTCCGCTATTGATTATGGTAAGATTCGTCTGACCTAGGAATTCTAGTAACAGACGTCCACGATGGCTTGTGCGTCTGCTACCCCAGGCAGTTGACCACGCATTAAAGTCGCCCGCGATTAAGACTGGCGATTTCCCTCTGGTTTCTAGAGCAAGCTCCAGTAGGAAGTTTTCAAAATCTATTATTGAGGAGCTGGGAGGAGCATAGCAGCTAAAAAAGTATATGCCACGTATATTTGCCCATGTGAAACAATTATTGTTTTTGGAGCAGGATATAAAAGGCTGGCCTTTACATGACCATATTGCAGCCTTGCCAGATATGTCTGTGATCCAGGTGCTTTCCGAACGCTGCGAGTATTGCTCGCTTAGTAAGGCGACATCAATGTTTTCCTCAAATAATGTCTGTTTAAGCAGATCTTGTGCACAGTGGTTTAAATTAAGCTGTAGTATCCTCATTTTCCTACCGACTTTACCATCTCCAAATACTTGGGGCAAGTCGTACTCAATACTGAGTGTGCACCTTTGCAAAACATGCAGCTTGGGTCGTTGGTGCATGTTTTTGCTACATGTCCGCCGGCGCCACAATGTGTGCACAGGGACGACCTGTCTACGGGGTTGCAGCATTTGCGCGCCATGTGCCCCACGTGGAAACACCTAAAGCAACGGGGAATAGGGGAATATTCCCGGAGGCGGCAGATAGACCACCCGATCTTAACTTTGCCTACCTTAAGCGCAGCCTTGGCATCCTGAGCGCGCAGGCATATGAGAGCTATTTGGGTACCGCTTCGGGTCTTTCGCATACTTTTAATGTTTGTTTTCCCTAAGTTCTGTATCCCGCACTCCTTTTGCAGCGCCTCACAAATTTCTTCCGGAGTTGTTATTTCGTCCAAATCCTTGCACATAATTGTAACGTTGTGGGTTTTGGGCTGTATGACTGCCATTTCACCGATCACTCCCTCTAAAGCGCTTTGAAATGATTCAGCTCTCTTTTCCGCTTGATTTTTAAGTTCCAAAAGCAGGTCTCCCTTCAATGTTTTTCTTATGTAGGTGCCGAGTTCCTCTAGTCCGCTGTCACCTTTTATTTTCGGATCGGAGGATGTCGGCGTACGATGCACCATCCTTTTTGGTGAGTATGATGGCGTCTGGCCTTGATCTTATTTGATCAAGATGATTTGCTAGGTTCCGTTCCGGTAATTTCGATGTCAAAGATGCACCACGCGTCGGGAGGCCTGTCGTCGAAAATTGCGATAAAATTATGGAAATAGTGGAAACAGACCGTCACGTGAGCACTTATTTAATTGCTGAGGAAATAAAGATAAGCCAGAAACCCGCTTGGAACCATTTTCATAACCTTGGATTCAAAAAGAAGCTCGATGTTTGGGTGCCACACGAACTAACGCAAAAAACATGATGGACCGAATTTCCATCTGCGAATCGCTGCTGAATCGCAACAAAATCGACCCGTTTCTGAAGCGGATTGTGACTGGCGATGAAAAATGGGTCACTTACGACAATATCGAGCGCAAACGGTCGTGGTCAAAGCTCGGGAAAGCAGCCCAGACGGTGGCCAAGATCGGATTGACGGCCAGGAAGGTTTTGCTGCGTGTTTGATGGGATTCGCAAGAAATCATTTACTACGAGCTGCTCCCCTATGGCCAAACGCTCAATTGAGCCCTCTACTGTCAACAACTAGACCGCTTGAAGGCAGCACTCATCCAGAAGAGGCCATCTATGATCAACAGCGGCCGAATTGTGTTCCATCAGAACAATGCCAGGCCACACACGTCTTTGGTGACGCGCCAGAAGCTCCGGGAGCTCGGATGGGAGGTCCTAATGCACCCACCTTACAGTCCGGACCTGGCACCAAGGGATTACCATATTTTCCTGCCCATGGCGAACGCGCTTGATGGTGAGAAGTTGGCCTCAACAGAGGCCTGTGAAAATTGGCTCTCCGAGTTTTTTGGCAATAGGGACGCAGTCTTCTACGAGAGGGGTATAATGAAGTTGGCATCTCGTTGGCAACAAGTTTACGAACAAAACGGCGCATATCTGACTTAAATCGGACAAATGTACACAAAGTTATCGTCTTTTGAAAAATCAATAAAAAACCAAACGAACTTTTTACTTTACCTAAATATATTTTTTATTTTTATAACAATGTATACCTTTTTTGAGTCACTGCACCATTTTTAAAATTTTTTGTCTTAGTTTGCAAATTTTGTTACTTTTTTTGTTGTACCACAAAAGTGCAGTGTCTTTGTTATTATATACATATCTTTTGTTTACTCAATTTTTATACTCTCGCAACCTGTTGCTACAGAGTATAATAGTTTTGTTCACCTAACGGTTGTTTGTATCACCTAAAACTAATCGAGTTAGATATAGGGTTATATATATATAAATGATCAGGATGAAGAAACGAGTTGAAATCCGGGTGACTTTCTGTCCGTCCGTCCGTCCGTGCAAGCTGTAACTTGAGTAAAAATTGAGATATCTTTATGAAACTTGGTACGCATGTTTCTTGGTACCATAAGACGGTTGGTATTGCAGATGGGCATAAACGGATCACTGCCACGTCCACAAAACGCTATTGATCAAACACAAATAAATTGCCATATCTAAGTTTCACAATAATATACAAGACCGTTATTTGGTATACAGGATCACATTAGGGAGGAGCATCTGCACCCTTAGTTATGGCAATTTATTAAAAAATAAATTAATTAAATTAAATTTTTTTAAAAGTGTAAGTGGTCCCGCCCCTAATAAGTTTAATGTGCATATCTACTAAACCGCTATAGCTATAATAACAAAATTCAGTGAGAACAAATGTTTTTAGCTTCTGTTTCGTTGTCACCACTATAATTATTTATTGTATTTCTTAACACAGTTTTTTGTAAAAATCCGAAGGTGCCTTTCAGTAAGGCTCGAAGGACCATGAATATTTTAGATACTTGCACAAAACATCGTAAATAAAAATGTCCGACGCTACAAATGTTCTGGCCGAAAACAAGAGGCGGAGAGGATCCAAAAATCACGTGTTGCGTTGTTGAATTGCATAAGCATTGATGCGGTGACCGCGATGGTTCACGTATAAAGTTGCAACTTTCGTGCCAGCTGTTCAATCGGATCCGTTTAAGCGAACGCAGATTTAGCGATGGTCCCGTTCTTTTTGTTAGGTGACTTCGTGCATGTTGTTCTCAGAGGTTGAGAGTGGTGGTGTCGTCGTATGGGGTGAAATTCCTTAAGTGTTCGCAGGTGTGGTGTATTTCATTAGGGTGAGCCAGTTTTTCCCGAGTAGAGTGGTGTACTTGGAGGAAGTCTATGGTTAAATAATTCGGTCAAAATTTCATTTGTAAGTATGTATGTATGTATGTATTTAATACACATGTACGAATAAAAAGCTATTTATGCTTATCAGTTATTTTAATATAAATACATATACATTAATAAGCATTCTCAAAGATCTATTAACAGAACTAGAAAATAGTCATATGACAGTCACAGGAAAAAAGTTTTTCAGCACGCAGAACAAAGTTTCTATCATTTTTTAAGAGCCTTGTGCAAAAACTGATGTAAACAAACGTATGTGTGTGAGTGTGTGTGAGTTTGCATATCTCTTTAACACATGGGTATTCGGAATTGATTCACTATATATCTATACTAATCACTCTCATGTCTTTTTCTGAGTCATTGCTGACCATAAATCTATCAAAGCAGAAAATTGTCAGTTATAATTGAAGCGTTATCATAGCTGCAATTTGTCAGTTATGACTGTAAGTCTATCATAAGTGAAAAATTCTTTTGCGCAGAGATTTTTATTTCTGTAATAAGTTCAAAACTTTCAATTAAAATTAGTTATAATAATATAAATAAATATAAAAAAAGGGTGTAACACAAATATAATTAAATAAAAAATTATAGAATGAAATTTTCACTTGTTTTTATGCTTGCTCCTCCCAAAAGCTCTGCTGTACGTGTTTCTTTATGTCATGAATATTTTGGAATTTAAAAATGCCTAGATGAAAATGAAAAGTAACTAAAGAAATACATTTTATTTTAAACTTAATAATAACTTACGTATATTATATTTGAAAACTCCTTCGTTATTTATTTATTTTTAATAAAACGAAAGTTATTACACAGAAGCACGCAACAGTTTTGGTTTATCGCACGAAATATAGTTACATAAGTATTTCACAACTTCTCGAAACTTTTATGGAAATGTATGCTGTCGACGTATACCGAATTTGCTTTTAGAAAAATTGTAAACACTGACAGTCATTTTACTGTTCATTTGACTGTCAGTACGGACATAATAAATGTGAGTTGTTTCAGCAGCTTCTTGTAGGGATGCCACACACATGCATTCAACATTTATCAATACGAACATTTTTAGCATTGAGTTGCACATTTAAAAACAACCGATATCACACACACATTTATGTAGATAAGATAGATTTGATATATAAGCGATTGTAAGATTAAAAATAAATGAAATTATTATGTTTACGTCAAAATTTTTAAATTTGCGAAATTACTTACTTTTCTTGGCTATCCATTTCTTTATTTTGCTTTGTTTATTTTTATAAAATAAATGTTTGACAGTAGAATGATTTTTACTTCATATGGTGACCTTTTTAAGCTTTTTTCTTATGAGTTCAAGCAAGAATAATCTTCCAAAATAAACCTCACAAGCAACATCACAAAGAAGTTGTAAGGTTTTCTGGATTATTATATAAAAGTCCCAATTTCATGGCTACACACATATCTTTACTTCTAATTCCAACAACTTAACGCTTTATTACTCAGGTTACATATCCGAGCTTACAACTTCTTACTGATGAAAATCTAAATTTTTTGATATTTCTGACAGTTGTAAGATGGACTAGTCGTAGAAAGCTAAAATTAATTAAAAGACGAGAAGGCCCCATATATATTTATAACATAATTTATAAATTTTTGTAAGATTTATTTTAATTTTATGATATAAAATATTTGGTTAGGATGATGATGTGAAAATTTAATGAACTTTTAATTATTTAAAAACATTAATTTATGAGTTACTAATCCATTAATCGTGATTATGATTTTAAGTTACTTAAGTCAAATATCTAAGCGTAGCTCCCAATCGCATATTTGGCGTAATAGCTTCTCGCATTACTGTTTCTTGTTTTATTATTGATCTTTTGCAGCCCACCCTAATAAAAGTAAATCGTTTTCCGATGATGAAATGACACGCTGTGAGTGCTTTTATTTTCGCAGAAGCACCTGGTGGATTTCACCACAGCTAGTTCGGAAGGAGAAATTTTAACAGTGGAGCGTGAACAGAGCTGAGCGTTGAACGAAAATTATGCTCAGAAGTATAAAATGTTATTACAGACGTACATATGTTAGCCCTTCGGCTTATATTTTTATACGTTTATATGTAATCACATGTATTGATATGAAATTCCTTTTGGGAATATCTATGATAGACTATTACATTTTATTATAAATATACTATTTTAAAACAACATTTCTAGACAATGTAAAAATATGACCTAATTTTTAAATATGTCTTATGTTTGACAATATAATATACTTTCATATACACTTGCAGTCAAAAAACGAACAACCAAATTTAATTCAAATAAAATCACATGAGCAATTTGTTTATAAAGTTAGAATATTATGGCCATTTTTGTTTGTTTGGCTATATAATGTAAATTAGCTATCCACAATAATTGTTCTTGAAAATGGTTTTTATAACAACACAAATGTTCCATGATATTCAGAAATAATTAACAGATAACAATAACAACAAAGTTAATTTAAAGCGACTAAATCATTTTCACCACTAACGGTATAAATATAGACTACACAATACGCTCTTTTAATAACGAGTCGTTCCACCAGTTCTAAAATCTTTATCAATTGCATTTTATTTGTTGGCTTCTGTTTAGCAACTTTACACTTCGTTATGTGTCATAAGTGCTCAATAGGGGTTAAATCGGTCAAAATTCCAGGCCAATCCAAGCAATGTATTCCTAGATCGTAGATGTATTGGTCAACTAAAAATAAAAATTCGAGCTGAATAGGATCAAATATACTAATATTGTATAAATATCTTATACAAGATTTATTTCCAATCAAAACTTACCTATTTTGGACGATGGCATTACGCTGAGTCATCTTGGAAAATAAGGCAATTAGTTTCGACAATTAAATCCACTTGGTAAAATTTTGCACTTTCGCCATTATAGAAGGTGCACTTTTGAAGCGGTCACTTAAATTTATTCCCCCAGTTGTCTGTTATCTCTGTTGACTTACGACGACGACCTGATCCCATTTTACGGTCCAACACATCACTATTATCTTTTTTTTTTGTATAGGACGAACAGTAGTTGAATAGCCACAACCAATACTATCTGCTGTTTGCCGAGAAGATAACTTTTCTTCGTCTAATGCCAATATGGACATTTTTTGGTCACCCGTTAATTTTTCTGATTATTTGGCATTTTGCACAACTTTTCAAATACACAACCAAAACACGAATATGACTGAACATTGTGTAACCCAATTTCAACAAAAAATAATTTATTTCTTAGTGGCTATTAAGTGGATCTAGTAGACATTTTTTCAAATTTATAGTTATATATAGCTGAAGATAGCCTACAAAAGTGGTGGTGGGATTTTATTGACCGCATGTGTATTTATATGTATATGGTATATGTATGTACAAAACATACTATCATAATATGCTTACAAACTTAATATATAACAATAGCAATTTATATAAATCCTATCTTTTATCATTTAACACTTATATACGCATGTATCATCCACATATGTATGTACACCTTCAAGCATTCAAATCATGACATTATCCCAGTTACCATGTTTATGCTTCTTTTCTACCCGGTTATATTCTACACGGGTAAAGCCTATAAGAATAAACGGTAAATATTCTATTAGAAGTGAATTCTGAATGGAGTTGATTTGAGGGTTGCCACACGAAACTGTTTTCATTTCAAAATGTTTTTATACTCTAGCAACATGTTGCTACAGAGGATATTAGTTTTGTTCTAACGGTTGTTTGCATCACCTAAAGCTATTTGAGATATATATGGAGTTGTATATATTATATAAATGATCAGGATGACGAGACGAGTTGAAATCCGGATGACTGTCAATCTGTCCTTCCGTCCGTCTGTGCAAGGATAACTTGAGTAAAAATTAAGATATCTTGATGAAGCTTGGTACACATGTTCCTTGGCGAAAAAGTAAGAACAAGTTCGTAGATGGCGTAATCGGACTACTGCCACGCCCACATAACGCCATTACTAAATAAAGATACAAAACTCAAATTTGTCACATGGAATCACATTGAGGAGAGCCACCGGTGGTTTAAATGTAGGCGTGGCCCCGCCCCCTAATACGCTTAATATACATTTATATCTCTCAAACCAATAAAGCTAAATCACCCAGATTTGCACAGGTCAAATTTTTTCAACCCTTGTTACTATATCCATATAACGGTTTTGTTAAAAACTACTAAAGTTGTGTGATAAATCAATATTTAAATGCGTCAGACGCATTAAGGAGCCGCTAGCACCGTCCACTTTTAGGTGAAATCACATATCTCTCACGTGCTTGACCGATTTCAACCAAATTCGGTATATAATATAATTCTGCCTATCCCATGTTACAGTGCCACATTCGGACTACAACCACGTCTACTTCCTATATAACACAATTTTAAATTCCTTTTGATTCTTTAACATTCTAGTATCTAAATAAATCACCAATTAATATAGCGGGATAAAATTTTGCACAAATAGGGCCTCGGAACCTTATGAATAAAAATTGTTCATATCGAACCAAAACTGTTCAAGCCCTTAGGTACCGAATTAATGGACACCAAAGCCTATTGCGATCTTTTTATCAAATCAATCTTTTATATATATAATTGAAATTTGGAGAGAATCTTTTCTTGATAATAGTATGCCTGTCTGTCAAAAATGGATTCAATCGGATCAATAATTCCATACATACCTAATAGACAAATTTCGAGTTTCCGGCTGATTTTTTACCGCATATGTGGATTATTTTATTGAAATTGAAAATATGTATTTCTTAAATAATAATGTATGCTTGTGCTTGAAATTAATATAATTGGATAAAAACTTGCTTTAGTCCCCATATAGCTTATTTGATTGTAATCCAATCACGACTTCATCCAATAGTGAATGTTGAATTCTTGCGCTTTAATATAAAGTTTTCATAACACCTTAAGGGGTTTATCCAGCTTTGATCCGCGCAAGTTGCAAGAGTATAAAATATTATGCTCGAACTTAGACCATCCTTACTTGTGTTAATGCTCTGAACACAAAGATGACGGCACGACACGTCTGCACGACAGCTAAATTTTCTGGTCGGCAAATGTCGTCTTGAAGCCAGCTTCTATAACATTTTGAAGACGGCTGCGACATATCAAACAGCTGATGTACAAAATTTCATTGTTGCCTTTACTAAAACCTTTAACTTCAATGGAAATTAAATGTTTTGTACAAAGTGAAATTTTTTGTCTAAAAAAATAAGCAAACATATCGATACATTGTTTTAAATTATTAATTGTTATTACAAATAATATATCAGTGCTATTTTATGGTTCTATTGGTAGAATAACATTAGATTTGTTAGAGCTTTGAATAATTTTACATATCACATATTGGTGGCAACACTACAACTGCCCATAGTCGGCAAAATTAGAACTGGTTTTAATTTAACAACAGAGACAACTTCAAGCCAGCTGACGTGAAGTGGTGCTGCTTTTAAATAACTGATTTTCAGATGCTGACTGTCGCTTGTCGTCGTCTATGTGCACTTAACAAACAGTAGCTACCCTGCAAGACGGGTATCTGCTAGCAAACGTGTTAACGACTAGTTATTGTTCACTTATGCATACGTTAAACTAAACTTATTTTTGTTTAGAAAGTGGGAAAAAAGTAACACATCGCCATTCGATGCTTAATGGTTTTCTCGCTCTATCCAATTGCAATTAAGGCATGCTGTCTCGTTCTATGTTACCTCTTATATGCGTACCTTGTTTGTTACGTTTTGGTTAACAGAATGACACACATTGGTTGTCAAATCTGTTTACAGCATGGATAAAATGATCCGAAGCTTCTCTCTTTGCTTTTTGGGAGAGCTCATGATCTCATGGTTTTTTTAGCGGCACTGAAAGTAAGTTCATGAGTTACTGAACAGATGACAAGCAAAACAACGAACCCCCACTAAGAATCCCACAGAAATAAATTACGAAATCAGTGCGTTATTTATGAGATCAGATTTTTTAGTGACTTTCACGTGTATTTCTTATCTTTATTGAAAGAGATTTAATAAAGTTTTGGTTTTAAGAAAGAGCGGGTATTTTGTCGCAGAGCTTGTTTCGCTTAGCCAATTGTCAACGTATATACTTATTTTGGTTAGAATTCCCAGCAAATGTTATGTAAACTTGGACTTCTGAATAAAT